TATTTGGAATTTGTTATATTTATGGGTACGGATAATGTGGACACAACGGTCAACTCTGCTTTGTGACTGTTTTCAAACCTCTGTGCTATCTTCTCATCTATCACGCTATATATATATATATATATATATGAATTTAATTAATATTAGAAAACGGACAACCTTAAGGGTTCATTGATTATATTTTATTTCCTCAGAAAGGTGGTTTAAAATTACCCCTCAAATGTGTATAAAAATAATACGTAAATTCAAAACCATTTTTATGCTTGGAAATATGATCTGAAGAACCAGGAAAAAACCATCTTCTTGGGGAAACAAAATATCAATGGACCCTTAAGATCGTCTCTTTTCTAATTTTAAATTAACATTGCGCTCTCTAGATTATATCCTTCTTGGGATTATCCATCCGGAATACCAAACTTTTCATTACCTAACTATATATATATATATATATATATATATATATATATATATATATATATATATATGAAATTTGAGCATGTTATCCGCTATTTTGATTTTGAAATGGATATACATGTTAACAAAATATTCGAATGATGGTTAAAATATAACAGAACTGAAATAGACTTATCATATCAGTATAATATAACAAAAGCTGTTTAAACGAATTCTTGCTACCTAATTACGATATATATATATATATATATAGAGAGAGAGAGAGAGAGAGAAGGGGGGCACTGCGGAGTAGTAGATAGCGGTTCGGATTGAGTTCGAATTCTAGTCGAATCCATTACATTCACTTACGTGCTAATACCCTTGGGAAATATATTAATCCTCTTTTTCTCCTTATGGGTAAATATCAGGACAGACAGGGTTATATAGACTTGGATGGCAACTGGTCTAGGAGAAAGACAACTCTGAATTCAAAACCTGCAGAGGGTCGTTTGGGAACCTTGTGTCCCGTAGTGCACTAGGTCTCTGTATTCGGCCCTTCAAAAAGTGTGGTTGGTTCTGCACAAAGCCTTCCCCACGATAATCAAATCACATGTACTGGTGTCTGGGCTGTCGCTTGACCGTCATAAGTCGAATAAGACAGGAGACCTCACTATATATATATATATATATATACACACAAATATATATATATATATATATATATATATATATATATATATATATATATATATATATATATATATATAGAGAGCAGGATCCTTATTACTAGAAAATGCCCAATTCCAACGCAACCCAAAGATGTTGGTTTAAAAACAACCGTTTCTTTATACCACGAAGGCCATGGTTTACAATAAAACAGTTAGCTGAAATGGCCGATACTCACACGCTCCTCTCCATCAGAATTACCCAGAAAGAAATATATCATGGGAAATTATATGACAGAATATGCATTTTTTATTAAAAAGAAAAAAAAAGTAAGCTTTCGAGATTTTTCCTGCTTCATTTTACAGTACCCACCCATACAAATACCTCTCTCTCATTATATATATATATATATATCTCTGTGTGAGTGTGTCTGTGAGAGAGAGAGAACCAAAAATGTATGAATCTGTTTTAAACCGACCAAGACTTCCTTCTTATTTTTTCCTATTCTTTTGTTTCATTTGTATTTTTGCAGATTTTTTCCCATCTTTTTGTCTGGCTAAAAATTCAACTGCAACCTTATACACATGATCCCTTCTATTTAGTTATTCTTCATCGTATCTCTCATACCTTCAGCTTTTTCTTTTTTCTTACTCACTAAAATAAAATAATAAAAAAAACGTCTTTTCCCCATTCTTTTATTTGCACGTTTATTTGTTTTATGTCTCCATGTTATGTGTATTTTTATGTCTTTGGATAGTGAGAGAGAGATTTCAAAAGAGTATATAAAATATATAAGAACTTTATTACATAATATAAAAAAAAACTGTTTATAAATATATCAGAAAGAAGTTACCTCTTTATATTACAAACTTGTATTTCCTGTTCTGTGAGAATCAGAGGATTCATTCCTTTCTATTTTTAATTTTTAATAATTTCACCCTAAGACTATAAAGCCACTAAGGCACAAGGTTACTTACTAAGCGAGAAAGTCTGAGAAAAAATGAGTTAGGACAATAAAAGAACAGAGATCAAGTAAACAGAAAATGGGTATTAACATTACATTTAACATTGCCTGGAAAGCAAGAAACGAAAATAGTTCAACAAAGTGCGAGAGAAGAAACTAATAGTATAGAACTTACGGTTACATCGGGCAATTTCAGCTGTAAAATGATTAGACATAACTGCCAATCTAGTACTCCTCTTAAAATTCAAAAAATTGAGATACCAAAGAGGAAAGTTCATCAGATCAATTTACTGTAATCTTTTCACCCCAAGCAGGGTGATAATACCACTAAGATGTAAGTGGCTAGAAGGGGTGAAAGGGAAGAAGGCTTTAGAAAGAACCGAAAACCCAATCCTAAATAAGAAACAAGGGATAAACCTCTATTCCTGGTCAAAAGACCGGGGAGTAGTATGAGTAGCTGGATATTACAGAACATAAGAGGCAACTCGTGAAATTTTGATTTGCTATGCTACAGAATTAGTGCGCGCACACAAATATACTATAGTTCGTTCAATACAAGCCCCAAGAGCCACTGAAGATGTTTTTAGGGCATAAAGAAAGCAAGAAAAAAGTTCATATTATGGGCATAGATAACGTTTAACCCTATATTTGAACTGGTTAAGATTGTAGAAATTTGGAAGCATCCTCTTGGGAGTCGGTCCTACAAAGCATTTCTGGGGAAGAATCTGTCTTAGTGAACCCTCGGCCCTGTCAACAGAATACGAAGAGAATGAAGACGAGTCAAACTTGTGTATGTGGTGTTCAGTTCATAGCTGTGAAGGCCTGAACTGGTGGACCTAAAGAATAAAGCTCTTCTGGACATTTACCATGGAAATAGTGAGAAAGTAGCGAAAGGAACTGTGGTAGAATCCACCTAATTTGCATAGTGGAGTACCGGGAAGAGAGGGAGGAATCAAGAGATTCAACCAGAGACTCTGCCCGACTGCGACTCACATTCTCCAGGAACTGTCTTACCAGGAATATACAAAAGACTATATGTAAATATTGTGTAAACTTTCTTGTTTCAATACATTTTGTTCTAAGTACATTTTGTGTTGTTTAATTATTCCATGCATTAGTCAAGTTTCAACAGGAACTAACAACGTTTTGTATGTGATGGAAAGGCGTTGTAGCGTGGAAAATGATTCATCACCAGCGTAAACTCTTCTGATCCCTGTCAAGACTAGAAAATGAGGATTGCATAGCTCCAGGCCAGTTATGATAGAAGTACACTATTTTTTTTAAAAAGATACACCATGACACGATATGCAGGGTACTTATTGAAGCCATACAGGGAACCGACCATTTCAGAAAGTACCGAGATAGATAAATAGATACACTGTGGACATAGGAATCAACACTGCATGGTGACTGTTTTATACCTCATCCACAGACCATTTGCCACTACACTGTTAGTTGACTCTATTTGTAAGTTACTGGGGAATTAAGAGAAATAGAGAAAGAAAGATAATGACCTGTTTCAGTTGTTTACTTTAGGAATAATGATGCAGTGCTTTTATAATGGTGACCACTACATTGCCCACTATATCTATCTATCTATCTATCTCGTATATTTTTGTGAATTTTTAATTGGGGGGTGCGGTACGTTTTCTAAGTTTTGGTGCTTGGAATAAAGTTTATTGGATTTAGACGATCGGATTTCATTTCGTCTTTTTGGTAACGATGGGGTTGTAATGTAGAAGAAACGTTTTCGCGCCTGCATTTTCAAACTGTTGAGTTCTATTTCCACCCTCTATATCTAAAAACAGGTGGGCGTTGTGGTGAAATGGATATCAGCTCAGAAGGAGAAATCGAAGAGCCGAGTTTGAATTCCAGTCGAATTCGTTGCTTTCACTTAGGCGCAAATAACCCTGTGAAAGGGATGAACCCATCTCTTCTCCTCCCACCTATGGGACAGACAGGGTTATAGCCTTGGTTGGCAACCAGTCTACCACAGAAAGAAATGGTAACCTACTGCGGGGAAATTTTCTGCCTAGTCAGTCATGAATCGAGAGAGACATGACCGCCCAAGCGTCTATCACATATTGCACTTAACTGACTGATATCTACAAACGCACTCATTAATATGAAGCGATATTTGGTGAGGTATATAGAATATTTTAACCAATAGACATACATACATATATACATACGTATACACACACACACAGATATATACATACATGCATAGATTATATCTTCATTGAAATATGTTTCATTAAATAATATCGACATATTGTCTATTTTCATACTGATTCATTGCAGTTGGCTATATATATATATATATATATATATATATATATATATATATATATATAATATGTGTGTGTTTGTGCACCAGTTGGTGCTGAATAATTTATGAAATATGGATTTTCTACTTCGGAGCATTCCTTTCTTGATATGCATAGAAACTAACAAAGGTGTAGTGCACATAAAAGTAGCGGTAAGTATCCGTACTACAACTTGCTCTTCAGTTTTTGTATTGCACCCTCCACCTTCCCTATCTTTTCTGTCTTTCCTTCAATTTCATTTTTTTCTCTTAATAAATATATATATATATATATATATATATATATATATATATATATATATATAATGTGTATGTGTATGTATAAAAATATTCCATATATATCAGTGATAGTGCTAACATATTTAGTTGGATTGATGTGAGTTTTCTAACAAACCTGCATCAATTCAACCACTATATATATATATATATATATATATATATATATATATATGTGTGTGTGTATACATATAAAAGAACATACACAGACTCTTTGTAATGGTTAGCGGAACATAGTATCTTTTCATTAGTTTGTTACACTTACAATTCGCACTTGTGACCTTGTACCAGACTCTGCCTATATATATATATATATATATATATATATATATATATATATATATATATGACAGGTGACCTTTCTCTGTTCTTTCAAAACCTACTTCCAGTTTCCATCGTTCCCTCTTCTGCCTGTCGCAGATTCTTTCTCTCCTCACCAAACAGAATTCGGCTCCTTGGCTCTTTTCTCTTACTACCACCATCTTTTCTACCATCTTTGTCACTGTCTCCAAACATACCGCCGCCATCACTATTGAGACTTTTCGGCTGAACCACACTGAGAAACATTCTAGATTGAACAAGCCGACAAGCAACATAGACACGAGAGAGAGACAGAGAGAGAGAGAGAGAAAAGAAGATGACTGACAAGCAAGCAGGATGTGTCGTTGAATCCCTCTTTTCGAAATATTGATCTGAGACGGGGAGATAACTGCGCGACTTCTCTCTGCATAAGAAGCGTACATGGTGGCTGTGACAGAGGAACAGAAATAGAGGGTCGTGGTTCCCGGCGATGGTGATGCTTATGCTGATGGGTGCAGGGAACAGCGGGAGCGGTCCAGAGATGGTTCGCGAAATCAAGGAGAACTAGGTTGAGATTAAACGGAAAAAGGAAGAGGAAAATAGAACGGACGCGGCACGCGGACAGTTGAGGATGCAACCATGGCCGGTGGTGGGTGGGGAGTGAGGGAAGAGGATGACAGCCGATAGCCAAGCGGGAAAAAGAGCCATGAGTCACAGTTTCTAGAGCCGATGGAAAAATCAAAAAGACCCCGCTCGCCTCTGCCAGCCGGTAAGATGCCTGTGATGATGAATAAGGGCTTAGAGTTAGAGTCGGGTAGGGGTATTGCTTGTGCACGTAGAGGAGTGGGGCTTAGAAGGATTTTTGGTGAAGGTGGAGTTTCGTCATCGGAGTTGTTGGCTTCGGCTTACAAAGAGCCGAATGTTAACTGAAATGAATGGGGGTGAACGAAAATAACTTAAAAAAAGTGACGATAAAATATTTTAAAAAAAATCTGAAGATTGAAATTCTTTTTCAGATAGATAGATAAAGAACTAGAGAGCAATACATTTATATTTTATATTGCACACGTTAATAACAAAAACTCAGTATTATAGTGTCACTTTACATATTAACAGTTGCAAGCAATGGGCTCTTCATTGTAGAGAAGTGATTAGCAAGTTAGACTCGCACGCCGTTATTGATGTGGAGGGTTTAATTTCAAACGGATTCTCCCTAATTGTGACTCTGTGTTTGACTAATCCAAGATTCGTAGATAACGTGACAGATGAATGAGTTCTCCTCTCACTAGATAATGTTGTACTAAGTACCAAGCCATGAAAGCAGAAGGCTTAAAAAATCACGACTTGCTGATATATTTAATTGTATGCAAAATATTACCCTCACTGATGGCTTCACAACCCAGCAAAGTAATCTAATCGTAGTATATAACTACCGAAAACCCTAATATATCTACCACAAAATGTATGCATATATATTTCTCTTTATCGCTCGAATATACATATATATATATATATATATATAATCAGAATTGTTATAGAAAAGTTGTCACTTAATTGATCGATGTCATAACTTCGAAGTTTCGTAAACATATAGAATACGTTCATTCGTCGATATAATTATTATTAATAAACGTTATTTTTAGTGGCTACAAGTATTTGAATAGACGCTCTATTTATTAAACAGTATATTTATTTACTTTCGCTTACCGGCCTGATTATTCAAGAAAACTTTTTAAGGAAAAATATGCGCTCTCCTACAGGATTCGAACCTACAACACCTCCTAGAGGAAACCGGCGTTAGATCCAACATGCTTTACATTTTTAGAATTTCTAAAGAATTAATAGATTTAATTTCTTTAATCGGACTTTTTTTTAAAGCTTCAAACCTTATTTGTACTGGGTACCCGTATTTGATTAGATACTTAATTGTGAAGCTCTTTGTAGCCAATCGGTTGAAGCATGCAAAGTGGGACGTAGGTTCGAATTCTGCCGGTGGGCATCTTTTATGTAATGAGTTTTCTCGCGTTTAAAATAAATCGGAACGTATAAAAAATAAGGTTTCAATATCATTTTATATATATATATAATGCATGCGAGCGCGCGAGAGGATTTGTTTAAAATGTGTTATATTTATGGAAGAAGAGTGGTCAATATGTTTGTATATATAAAGAACGTGCTCGGAGAAATCAAAACTTCACGGGTGAGTATCAGTTTCAAGACATCATTAGAACATATGTTACTCGTCTTTGTTTGGACTAATATATATATATATATATATATATATATATATATATAGGTCACTGATGTCTTATGAAAAAGCTTCTTTTTTTTCTCTTTATATTTTAGAGGAGTAACGGCCCTGACCATGTGTATTTATTTATTTATTCATTTATTTATTATTTTAGATCAATTTATTTATGTTCATAGTTACTTCAGTCCTAATATTTGCTATTTGAAATATATTTCATGTTTACTTCATGGATTATTAGTATTTAGATATGTTTATCTGTCGATGTAGTTTTTAGGTAGCGTAGTAGTTTACAATACCTGTTTTTCGCAATTTTAGGACATGTGGCTGTGAGAACGTGTTTGTAACAGTGCTTTGAGGTATATACATATATAGATCGGTGAAAGAGACCCCAGCTTATTACATCCCAATTTTCTTAAGGTAGTATTCATATAAAATACAAATGTAATCTAATCATGTATAGTAATGGATATGTAGGTAAAAAAAAAGCAAATGTTGATAAAACTGCAATGTTCACAAAGCATTGCTCGGGTCCTTCAATCAGGCTCACCTAATATAGACATTAAGCCGTACAAAAATTAATTTCTCGAAATATAAAATTAAATAAGTGGGGAGGGAGATAGCAACAAATGTGAAAAAAAATTTTTTTACCAAGATTTTCTAAAATAATTTCATTCATTTGTGAATAAAACTTGAAAATTTTTTTAAAATCTGACAATTATTTAATTTTTGCAAGAATTTCCAAATCAATCTACTTTTCACCGCAATTTTTTCTCTATACTAATTTTGGTGTCCCATCCACATCTGATGCAAGAAAACAAGGACAATACGACCTAACACATTCATATCGATCCCAATTTTTTAATCTAAGTTAATTTTCACAAAAGGTTTCGCACAGCGAATAATCAGACGGAGATTGTATCTTTACTAATAATACCATCTACCCCAGGATTCACACCAGCCTCAAGAACAACTGCTTGTTAGTTTCCCCTGACTCTCTGTTTATTTCTCGCATCTCCTGATGAAGGACACAGGCGTGACCGAAAGTTCCGAACTTCGAACCTTAATTTCCGTGCTTCATTTCTCTCATGTCTTTAATCATTAATAAATGTTTTTCGTACTGATCACATCGGCACCCTTTCGTTTCCCTTTGTATTATTAGCCAACCTGTCTATTCAACTTTATAAACTATATGAAGTACACGTGGACTCTTCAAAAAAATTATATATAATTGTACTAAAATGAAAGAAAGTATCAGTGAAAGAAGGAAGTATGAATAAAGATAAAGAAGAGGATAAATGTGTAGAAAAAAAAAATACAACCCGAAAAAATCGAAGAGAAACTCAATCTTGAAGAAAGAATTTAAAAAGAAATTGTAATCGGACGAACAAAATTTCAGGGAACAACGAACAAGAGGAAAAAGAGGGACATAAAATAAATAAATGGAAGTCAATAAATAAGTTTTAAAAAAGTAAATAAAAAAATTGTGAGATAAATAAGACATTAAATAACGAAACGAAAAAAAAATGTATTGACAACGGCATTAAAAAGTAAAACGAAATATTTCTGTGTTGTCAGTTGTCTCCAAATTTAATATGAGGCCAGTAAAGATAATGTACTTATCACTCACCCTACCACTCTCATAATTCTCTCCCCCTTTTGTTTTTTAGTTAAATTTTTGTATTTATTCTTTTCTTCTCTCTTTTCATTTCCCCCTTTCTCTCTCTCTCGCTCGCTCGCTTTCTCTCAGCTGCCTACACTTTACTGACTTGCTTTTTCTGTCTGTTTGTCGTTTGCTCAAGCACAGTGTCCAGCTGCGGGAGTTCAAGCCAAATAATCAATAAAGGTGTGGGCTGATTCTCTTACACATATACATGCACAGTATATAAAAACATAAAACAAATCGATACATGGTCAAATTTGAACGTATTGAGTTTTTACACTTGGACTCTACCAAATTACTCGCAAACACAGCGATAGACTAGAAATGCATACGCAAAATGAATTAAATTTTCAAATCTATTTCTGTTCACACACATTTTCGAACACATAAATACGTACACGTATACACAAAAATTAGCAACTAGTCCGGTGGTCCTGCTATTTACCTTGAGTTCCTTGATAAAATCCAAAAAATAATCAGCAATATTATTGGTCCTGATCTGGTGGCTCGGCTTCAGTCATTTTCCTACTACCGTAAGGTTGCCTCTCTGTGTCTTTTCTATAAATACTTTCATGGTAATTGTTCGGATGATCTCTTCGCTATGGTACCTAAAAAATTTTTTAATTTAAGCGCAGTACTGGACTGGCGTCGAGATCTCATCAATTTACACTTGAGCTGGATAGATGTAACCGTAAATTCTATGCTGATAGTTTCTTTTCTCGCACTTCTCGTTTGTGGCGTTCCCTTCCGACTCTAAGCTTTTCAACCGTCTTTAATCTGCAAAAATGTAAATGCAATATCAATCGCTATCTACCGTCCACCTGATTAGACTTTTTTTCCCGTTCCTTCTTAATGTTTCTGCTTTTTAATTCTTCCACACCCTGTAACCCCTTGTACCTTAGTGGCTTTACTGCCTTACATGGGGTGATACCGTTCAAAAAGAACTTCGTATAGCCTAAGGTTTTATAGTGATTTACTAAGCATAGCTTAGATGTATCACAAGGTCGGAAGTAGGAAATACCCGGTAAGGATCGAACTACCTACTCAGTCGTAATTGATCTAGCGAGACAGACTATATGTGAAAGTGGGTACAAAGAATGTTCTCCGCGAAAGTTGTAAGTTGATAGTGCCTATCTGCCACGGAAATCAGCATTCACGGGCATATTGAACGCAGGAGAGGACGAGGGAAGCAGCAACTTACGTAAATTGTGTAGCGATTTACTTAAGCGCCGCTTAGTTGTGGTACAAGACCGAAAATAGGAAGCTCCCAGTGAGGATCGAACTCGCTCGTCCGTTGGAATTGATCTCGCGAGACAAGCTTGCTAACCATTACTTTAATGCAACTTAAGTAACTTCTGTAAATTTATCGCAGAACTTGGAAATAGAATAAAGTTACAAAGGGTAGGAAGTTGTGGAGAGTCATAATCACCCACATCTCGCAGAGATATAACATATAAAAGAAAAAAAAATGACATCGTGAATATATATAATTTGGATCCAGAAGTTCCTTGGTCTTTTTTTTTTTTTTTTTTTTTTTTTTTTTGTAGTAATTTAGAAAACCTTTGGGAGTTTATACATTTTTTATTGCTTATATAATTAGTTAACTGTCGTACCTGATTTAGTATACTTAGAAAAAAGCAAAGAAAATTAGCTTCATAATAAAGAGCGTAAAGAAACAAGCGTGAGGACTTAATCACTTTTCCTGCATGACGTAATATGATAGTCACTAGCAGTACCATTTGAAAAATTCAGTTTTCCTATTTGAAATTCCGAATGAATCATAATTCCTAAGTTAAT